AAAATCTACCTGAAAAGCTTGTAAAATCTACCTAGAGAGCATGTAAAATCTACCTGAAGAGCTTGTAAAATCAATCTAAAGAGCTTGTAAAATCTAAACTGAAATGCTTGTAAAATCTACCTTAATAGCTTGTAGAAATCTACCTGAAAAGCTTGTAAAATCTGCCTAAAGAGCATGTAAAATCTACCTGAAAAGCTTGTAAAATCTACCTGAAGAGCTTGTAGTATTTACCTGAAAAGCTTGTAAAATCTACCAAAAGAGATTGTAAAATCTACCTGAAGAGCTTGTAAAATCTACCTGAAGACTTTGTGTAAATGGATGAGAAAAAGGAGATGAGGAGCGAGGATTTGAAAAAAAAAAAAAAAATCATTAGCAAGAGCTAAAAATAAAAGGTAGTTGTGGAGATTCATAATCGGCCATGTCGTAAAGGAAACGGACACAGCAAAAAATATAAGAAAGAGATATTGAATGTATTACTTATCTTATACCGAAATGGATCGAAACAGAATCTGAATAAAAAGATTGAGTCTCGGAAAACTAAGTAGGCTTTTTGATGAAAATAAACTGATTTTAAGGTAATTTTCATTTTATTTTGAATATGGCTCCATCATTACTTTGAAATCATTGGCGCCACGATTCCTATAAATAAATACGGTAAGATGACGAAACCTTGTCACATACCCTTTTCTATTGCTGTATACTTCCTTGGATTATTTGTATAGAGGAAAGTGATCATAAAAGAACTACAAGTTTGAACATGACTTATTATTGGTAGACAGTCTTAACTAAATAACACATACGGATTACAGTGGCAAATAAAGCTGTTCGACAATGGAGTAGACGAAAGTGAAAGATAAAGTGTATCACCCTCCATGAGAACGATAGCCTAATTACAATTAAAATTGCTACAAATTAAAAATATCAAAAATCAAACTTGTAGAGAAGATTAATTCTCTGAGAAGTTTTTTAACAGACGGTGTCATAAAGTGACACAGAGATCCGAAGGTGCTTTTAAATAAAAATGATCACTTGAAATATCTAAGTCTTAATATTTAAGTATTAAAGAACAGGGATATTTCGATAGGAAAAAACGCTAAACTATCATGTAATGTCAATTATCCAATATGGTAGTGATTGGTAAACAGTTTGCCTTCAGATCAAGAAGAGGTCTGAGGCAACACAGTCATGGTTCTACAGGTGGATGATGCTAGAAATACATTCACGGTATTTAATATCCCACCCACGAGGAATATATGTGGCACAAGGCCGAATTTAAAGTGGGTTTCTCCGAGCCCGTAGGCTCGGCCAAAAATATACCCTTTGAACCCGCCTAGACGGATTCAGGGCCTGTCTACCTCCCCGGACGAAACCTTGCCCTTCGGCAAAGCTTCGTCCGGGTTCCTCTCTGCCAAAACAGAGAGTTCGATAGATGTCAAAACTGTATCTCGACGTAACTCAACATAAAATGCAAATACAATCACGGATCATGTGAGCAACTTGGAAATTTAAAGAAAAATGAAAACGAATAGAAAAACGTGCTTAATGTCATAGAGGGCACTTAATGAGGAAAGAAGTCTTGGAATATGCGATACTCACAGGGCGTAATGAACGCAAGAGGAGCAAAAGGGATCATTGCTCATCCTCCCTAACGAGCTCGTGTAAATGGATAGCATGGATTAGAGGGAGAGCAAGAGAAGAAACCAAGCTTAAAGCAATGGATAGGATGTTGTGGAGATCCGCTATCGTTCACGCCCTGAAAGGAAATAGAAGATAAAAAGAATAATTCCTTATTTGTTAACCGGGTCGTGAAGGATTTGACAATCTCCACGTTTGATCATCCAGGATAAATTTTTTTACCAAGAATTGAAACCCAATCGCTGTCAAGAAAGACGTATAGGCATTTCTACAAAAGAAATCATTCTTCTCCATGTTGCTTTGTTACTGCTGACTATTAGACATTAATAGAGTTGAAAATGGCGCTGATGCTGTAAATTTCGCGCCAATCACAAGACTGTACTCCTCGCCGCGGGAAATCGGAATCCATAAAAGTGAACGATGCGTGCAAGCAGTTCACGTCAAATGAACTTAGTACCACATACCTCCACCCAATGCCACCACTCAACGCAGACTTAGTGAAAAGAAACCATTTAATTCGGCAGCCGAATAATAAACGCGAAAAACTTCGCACTACCGTCCGCCAACTCCAGCAACTGCATTTTGCCAGCGGTTCTTTGCAGAGCGTTCACTCATAAAAGGAACAGAGTTACCGCCCAGGAAAAGACGATGTGTTACTCAAGGGGAACGCAGTCTTTAGCTGGCGGCGCAGGCGCAGTACACGAACAGGAAACAAGGAAAAACGCAGGCGATAGTTGCGGTGTTCTTAATGCAACCAATTTGTTGGTTCGTTTTGTCATTCCGGACGCCGAGGTGGTGTGTTCCGTTAAGGACAAAATGAAGGTCTGAAAGGTGCACGGAAAAGAAAAAAAAGGAACATGCAAGCGTAATAACGAAATGTTTTTATGAGGTTACCGAGGAAAATGGAGACGATGAAAGGGGAGAAAAGTTGAGATTGAAGAATGAACATTTCATTGATAAATATAAGAAAGCAAATAACAATTAAGTAAAATAAAACAAAAATATTTAAAAAATACAGTATATCAAAATTTTTTTAAAGATGAAAATAATTATTTGCAAATGTTTACTTTTGGATTAAAAGATTATTATTGATTAGTAAAAATTTAGTCTTGAGTGAAAATTTACTCCTGTTTATGACAATTTAAAAATGATTAGTCAACATTACTCCTGATTAGTGAAAACGTACGCTTAATTAGTAAAAAAATTACAAGTGTTGGTGAGCATAAATTTACTCTTAATTTGTACATGTTACTCTTGATGAGTACAAAATTATGTTGATTAGTAAAAATGTACACTTGATTTATAAGAAATTACTTGGGATTAATAAAGATTTCGTCTTGAGTTGTAAAATGTACACTTAGTAAAAATTACCTCTAATTTGTCAACGTTTACACTGGTTTAGTAAAAATTTACTCGGTATCGTAAAACATTAGTGTTGATTAGTGAATAATTATTCTTACTTAGTAAAATTTACTCTTAATTAGTAAAAAGAAATAGTGTTGATTAGTAAAATTTTACTCTTGCTTAATAAAAATTAGTGTTGATTAGTAAAAATTTACTCTTGACTAGAAAAAAGTTAGTGTTAGTAAAAATTTACTATTGTTTAGTACAAAATTAGTGTTCATTAGTACAAATTTACTGTTGCTTAGTAATAAATGTTGATTAGTAAACATTTACATTTGCTTAGTAAAAAATAGTGTTGATTGATAAAAAATTAATCTGGATTTGTAAAATTACTTTTGATTAGTAAAAATCTACACTTGATTCATAAAAAATTACTCTTTATTACAAAAACATTATACTTGATTTGTACAAATTTATTTCTGGAAACATTTATATTTCGTTTAAAAAATTATGGCGAAATCGGTAAAAGCACGTCAGTCTATATGACGGTTCCGTATAGAATACAGGTTCGGAGGAGGCATATTTTCTATGACAATTTCTCAGACATTAAGGCCGGTAATTGTTGTTAATACTGTTTATTATTAACAGAGCATTTACTTAAATATTTGTATCTATAAACAGAATGTATAAACATAAAAATGTCTTTATGTATATATAAACAAGAGTAACGTCGACCGACCACAATTCCAAAACAATTTCTCGAGCCAGGAATATGCTCATTGTAATCTAATATAAGCTAAATTACGGAGCAATTATTCTATCTATTCTTTCATGTTTCCTGTGAAAAATATTTTATATTTTTAAAAGTGAATACTAATTAATTAAACTGTGTCAATATCATAAAATTGCATCTTCATCTAGCATTAAATATTTTCCTTTAGCCAGGTTCCAAGCGCGATTGTATATACATTTGAGCATGACTGTTCACCCTTATTTTTTGCTCATTTTTATATAATGTTTTCTTTTCTGATTCGGGGGATGACATTTTAACATCTTAATTTTGTAGCTATTGCCTGCTCATGGATCCGGTAAAGCAGAAATAGCAAACACAAACGATGTCCGATGAGTGATGTCTGTAGAGTTGTTTAAACCCAGATGTTACTCTCTAATTCACAACTACATAATACATATGGTAGACATATTGCGTAATTTATGTCTGTTTTTTGTTTTCATTTTTTTGCATGACAAAGCAACTTTAACGATTGATAATTAAAGAGAGATAAATTAACATCCAGCGCGTTTGTATCTCTATACATTCAAGTCAAGTGTGATAGGATTTTCGAGAGGGTTCAAGTCTCGGTTCATTTAAGTTCGGCAGTCGTGACACGATCAGTGATATTTTAAATGGAGTTCTCGAGGAAAGGTGAACAAGATGGACAAGGGGAAATTTCGCTGTAAAGCCTTTTGACCCGCATGGGTCAGCTGTGGTCAGACATGGCTTTCCTTTCAAGCCACAAGATTTGTAATGCAACAGTGTAACAGCTGGGTCAGCTCCACCTCAGGCTAAAGCGTCCACAAAGAAGGGGAGTTAACTGTGATGTGTCATGTTTGTAAGGCCTTATGACATTAGACCTTGATATGATATTAGACCAGCATTATTAACTGTCAGAATTGAAGGAAGGAAGGAAGGAAGGAAGGAAGGAAGGAAGGAAGGAAAGAAAATAATGCTTGTAAGGAAAGAAATAAGAAATGGAATGAAGCTTTATGGAGACAATAAAATAAAATAATAATTTGAAGAAATGAGAGAACGGGTGTAAATCGTTTGTGAAGAAAGATGGAAGGAACAGAAAGGAAACAATTGAGGGAGGAGTGGGCTAAACAGGGAAATAAATAGATGATTGTCTTAAAATGCCGAATAGGCTTTGAAGAAAGATCCAAAACAGATTTGCATAATACTGGAAAGGAGAATAGTGAGACGATGAATTAGGAAAAGAGGGAAATGTTGGCAAATGGTGCGAAGTTTAGAAGTACAAAAAAAAAAGAGAGAGAGAGGTGGAAAAAGAAATGATGCAAAATGAAATTAAGCGAATCAGGCTAGTGAGAAATACACAGAGAAAAGAGAAAAATGAAGAGAAAGAACGACTTGTGAGAATGAGAGAAGAAGGGAAAAAGAAAAGAAACGTAGATTGTAAGAAAGAGATAGAGAAAAGAAAAAAAAATGAAGAGAACCGAGGCTTGTGAAAATGAAAGAAAGAAAAAAAAGAGAAACGGAAGCTAGTGAGAAAGAGATAGAGAATAGAGTAAACTAGAGAAAGAAAGGCTTGCGAGAATAAGAAAAGGAAAAAGAGTAAAAAAAAATAAAAGGAAAGGAAGAGAAAAAGATTAAAAGAAGAGAAACGGAGTCTTGTGATAAAGCGACATAAAAAGAAAAAAAATATGAGAAAAGGAGGTTTGTGACAAAGAGTGATGAAGATCGATAAAAATTGGTAGAAACAGAGAGAGAAAATGAGAGACAAATGGAGAGTGGCGACACTTGTAAGAAATAACAAAAGCGGAAAATGAGGAGAAGGTGGTGGGGGGCTTGTGAGAAAAAGAAATGGAAAAATAGAAAAATGAAGAGAAAAGAAACGCTTGTGAGAATGAGGGAAGAAAAAGAGAGACATGAGAAGAAAGAGTAGAGCTTGTGAGATGGAAAAAGAAAAAAAAATGAAGAGAAAGATAGGCTTGTGAGAATGAAAAAAAAAGAGTGATGGAAAAAGCGAAAATGGACGAGAAAAAGAGCCTTGTGAAAAAGACAGAGAGAAGAAAAAAAAAAAAAACAAAGAGAAAGAGAGGATTGTGCAAAAAAAATTGAAAGAAAAAGATAATGACTTTAAATATTTTTGCATGCAAACGGCGGGCTATCATTTTATAATGTACGCCATTTGTTTTCGTTGTTCTTTTTTAATGTGACGTCTTCCCGCATGACGTTGGCTGGTATTGCTTTCCCCAGCTCACTATACCTTGTTACACTTAGCAAACTATATTCCTTTGCCAATAATCTTGCCTCGCTATCCATTCACACAAACCCCTCTGGTAGATGACTCACTGTTGTCTCCTGTCCCTTTCGTATTCAGTATGTCCAGTGTGTGTTAAATTCTCCAAACTGTCATTCCGCATCATGTATTTTCGAAATTTCAACACTCACTTTTTTTTTCTCTTTATTATTGTTTCCATTTTCGTTAATGTCTTTTCGTTGCATACGTGATCCATCCTTAGTATTTCAAGCATTATTCAGTATGATGACATTTCTGTCGCCTCCATTTTTCTCGTTATCAGTCAGGAGATTGTCTAGCATTCACTACCATGCAATTTTCTTTGGTCATAACGAAATGTTCCTGTTTCTTATCATCATGCTTAACTTTTGGAAAGCATTCTTTTGATTTTGTCATATGCTTTCTGATTTGGGGGTCGCATTTCTCATCCTCTGTAAAACACTCCCAGAGCGTTAATTTTTTGTACTTGTTTACTGGTAATAGTTCATATTATCTCCAATTCATAGTTCACCATCTTGGGCATTTCCTCCTGATGAAAACCATATAGAAAACCTTCTTGCAATTGAAGCTTAGTTGAAGAGATAATATGAAAGAAGGACACAAAAAATCTATGCGTATAAATACAGCACTATTAGTTTACATGTAACTTAGATAGGATTAAAAAATATGTATCAATACTGTGATTTTCTTTCTTCTTTCATTGATAATGTTATTAAGCTTATCAGGCGTTATGAAAAGAATTTACATAAAATAGACAAAACTCGTCTATATTATTTAATGAAACATGAATCAATATATATATATATATATATATATATATATATATATATATATATGTGTGTGTGTGTGTGTGTGTGTGTGTGCGTGTGTGTGCGTGTGTGTTCACTCCGTAAATTCAAAACTTTATACATATATTTTTTATACTGTTCATTTACAGCGTCTCAATTTAAAAATTCCAAGTTATGCAAGGGAGGTAACTTTTAGAATTTTTTAAAATGACAAAGAATTTTTTAATTAGAATATTTTTAATTTAGTATTTTTTAAATAAAATTTTATTGTTACAACGAGTTAAGAACTTTGTTGCTATACTCATAGATAATTTTATTTATTTTGCCCCGCAATATTCATATAAAGAGCTTCCGGAAATTTTTGCTTATACTATTTTGATGAACTATTAATGTATTTTCGACTAATATTGTCTAAACTGTGAATGTGCCGTGTTCACTTTAATGTTCTGAGATTGAACTATGCTCATTTGCGTGAAAACTAAGCCATCTCGTCAACGTCCTCGTTGTAAAACCAACATACGTATAACATTTTTATCAGCTGCAATCTCTCAAAAAACATTTAAATTGATATACAAGGTTGGTACTTTGTAAGATACTAGTTGATAACGAACAATTGTTTTAAACGACTAGGTCGCTTGTATCAAATTTAGCATAGTATATAATTAATTTTATTTTTATGCTTGGATCAGTGGTGGATATATTAGTGTTTATAAGTATTTTTAGAACTGGTTCTTCTCTTGCTTTTAGTTAAAAGGTATTTTATTGGTATCGTAGTTTGATATGTTTAGGGTTATTTGTTGATGTATTATGTTCATTTTAACACTGTTTATAGTCATTGGATTTGTAACTGTTATAGCACATGTAACTCGAACAGAAAATAATTGGAATTAGTTACTGGACATGAGAAACCTATTTGTATAAAATATTGTCTAAAGGGAAAGCTTTTATGAAATTAAACCGGCAGTAACACTGGTTACGCAGCCAATTCATGCTGAATGTTTCCTTATTTGGAAACGGCTAATAATCCCCACAGCATTACCACTCCAGCATCTATCTATCTATCTATCTATCTATCTATCTATCTATCTGGGAGTGAAAGAGACTTAGATTTTAGAAGGCACTTAGAAGGAAACACAATCCTAAACAGGAAGCATAGGATAAACATCTACTCCTATTCAAAAGACCAGCAACGTGTGTGATCTATCTATCTATCTATCTATCTATCTATCTATCTATCTATCTATCTATGTCTTATTATATTCATATCTATCTATATAGGAACATAATATGACATAGATATGAACATAATAAGAGCTAGATGTGGCACCATGCATCCAGGCAGAGAAAGAAAGGCAAAAAGGGAAAAGGAAAGAAAAGGAGAAAGGAAGGGAAAAAGTAATGCGAGACGGATCATAGGCGATTAGCGAACACACACACACGGCTTAAGAGGCAATAAGAAAAAAGGGTTATTTTGGATAAGTGGCAAACGGCGGAAAGAGTGTCATTACAATGACAATGAGATTGAGTGAGTAGGGAAGTGTTATCTAAACTATTGGTACGAGAAGGCATCTTACTATCAAAACACAGGTCACCGGCCAAGAGAAAAATTCCAGCGAAAATGTTATTTCGATAAGTGACGACAAGAGACAGGCGACAAAAAAAGACTTTTGGACAGATATGAAAATTAAAGGCCACCTGCGAGCAATCATTGACCGACTTTCCTACTGGCCTGCGCGAATGGAATTGTGTTATCAAGAAATGTTCGCCAAAGAAAGTCCACTTGAAAACGTTAGATTTTGATAATTGACAAAACACAGGTGTAGCTTGGAGCCTTAGCTGGATATGGCAAATTAAAATCCCACCCAAGCCGTCTCGCTAGTTGGGCTCTTTTCGACAAAACATTTGCCCTGCGATAATAAAATTTTGTTATCAGACACATAAACCGAAGGAAAATGAATGGAATAAGAAATGTTTTTATTTCTGCCTTGGAGACGTCAGACTGACTGAAAACTTGGAGAAAATTCTTTTCTGAGACCATGTCGGAAAAACCAGCCGTCTGATGAATTAGTGATAAACTGCTTAACAAACGCCACGTGTTGAACAAAGAGTTGTCATATTATCCGTTCATGATAACGGCGATTTAATTATTTTTTTTTAGTTAAGCAAGGTATTTTTTTTCCAAAACAAAGCCGCGGGGTGTTCACGCCCGACTAAGACGTCATTGGTCAAGTGACGCACGAAGGAGGAGGAAAGATACCCGACCAAGACCTCATTGGCCGAGAGTGATCACGTGACGCACGAAGAAGACTGTCGACGTCCCCACCCAGAGTATAAGTATGAGAAGCCGCTACAAAGAAGTGGGGAGGGCAGTTCACGCCCCTCAGAAGCATGGTGAGAAAGTGGGAGTGAAAGAAAAGTTACCAAAAATGGAAAAGAGTGGAAAATCCCTAACCAGAAATAAAAGAGGTGGATATGTATTTAGAATTATCGAGGAACTCCCCGACGCCAACAGACCCAACCCGGTTTTTGACGGCGTCAATAAAAACGAGGCCACAACAGGCAGAAATCAGAAGCGGGCAGAAGAGAGTTCGGACCCTGACGGGTTGAAGACAGTTCGTTCGGCCCTTGCGGCAGAGATGATAGACCAAGATAGCTGACCAAGATTCACGCAAAATTTTGGATTCCTCTTCAACCAAGAACAATTATTTTGAAGAGCGACTTAGAACCAGACCACAGAAATAAGTTTTTCGACTTTCGTCCAAAGACACACCGAAACACAAATTTCTTAGAGAGCAGACAACTTGAAACGTTAAAACTTGCCTAGCGAAAGCGACGTGTCACAATCCACAGAACGGGTCGGGAGAAGATGCAGTCCTATGTATCGAACAACTTGACATAAAGTTTGTTAACTTTTTCTTTGATACTTTGAACTTTTTGAGTTTTCATTTTATTTTCTTTTATGCATATTTGTGTGTTATCACCCCCGTTGAACTCAATTTGCATTACGGCCCCAACCCCTGTTTGATCTCGTCTGTCTAAGATCAATTCACAACGTGGGTAGGCAGACTGGAGATCAGTGCAGTTACCTTGGTAACCAGGCGTTGGAAGCGAGTTGGGAACGGCGAGGCTGATATCAAATCTAACCAGATTCCCACCCGAATCACCAAAAGGTTAGAACGTCACATTTGGGTGCCGCGACCGATACCAAGCCAGTTGGTCGTCACAGTACGAGGCAACACGACTGACGCGACAGGCGAACGTCACGTTTGGAGCAGCGACACCCGGACGGAGCAGCGAGGAGCGAACAGCTGGCGCCGCGGCGAAGACGTCACAATTGGTGCTGTTTAGGGACGTCACAACTGGTGTCGTGACCGGGATAAGACCCTGGAACGGCCACGTCACAACTGGCGCCGTGGTAGATCAGGATAGAACGTCACAGTTGGCGCTGCGACCGGGGGACGACGTCACATAGATCTATCTATCTATCTATATATCTATCTATCTATCTCAGTCTGTTTATATCTATCTATCTGTCACACACAGACACACATTTAACTGCGTGTGTGTTTGCGTGTATTTATATAAGTGTGTGTGTATGTGTGTCTGTGTGTGTGTTTATATTTTCGTATGTCCATACCTATTTATATGTATTTCAATTTCTTTTATCATTCGGTTCTGTTCATACATTTTTATATATAACCACGTACATCTCTCTCTCTCTCTCTCTCTCTATCTATCTATCTATCTATCTATCTATCTATCTATCTATCTATCTCAGTCTATTGTCATTTATTTGGCTACATCTATCTATCTATCTATCTATCTATCTATCTATCTCGGTCTATTGTTATCTATCTATTTATCTATCTATTTCAGTCTATTATTATCTATCTCTCTATCTATCTATCTATCTATCTATCTCGGTCTATTGTTATCTATCTATCTATCTATCTATCTATGCTTATACCTTCACTAATCTCTTTTGGATAACGTGTTTGCATCTCTCGATATCGATTTGCCTTTTGCATTTCCCACCATTTCTTTTTTGGTTTTACTTCTCTTTTTTTCTCCCATAAATTTAACTGCACCAAACCGACCTGCTCTTCACTCATTAAATACTTCTATTTGCCCGCCCCCGCATTTTATTTTCCCACTTTTGATTCTCATACTTATCATGTGACATTTCAACCGCATTCGCTCGATGCAACTCCAGCCACTCGTAACAGGTATTTTACATTATTTTTCTATTTTTCTCTACATTTACTCGCTTCAAAATCCGCCATATGTTTCTTTCTTCTTTTTCTCGAAATGGCTTTGTTTTTAATGTTTTATTTTCAAGAAACCACACCTTCACTGTCTCATATATAACCTTAGTTTCCAGACTAGGAGACTCGGCTTTTAGAAAAGTATTTTTTGCCCGGGTACGAGCACAAAATGATTCCAAGCCCCAAATTGTACAGATTAAGTCTTTGGGTGTCAGTTTATTCTTCATAATCCCAGTTCATGCGATTCTATCTTTTGGTTCATTTTTTTAAATGTTTTATACCAACTTAGAATCCACTAAATATGGGATCATCTTTTGCGAGGCCATACCCAATTTTCCCTATCTATCTATCTATCTATCTTTTCTGCAAATGTTTAGGCCGAAAGAAATCTAGCAATATAGGTTCTTGATTATTCTGATATCTTTTCCTGAATATATCGAGATTGCCGAGCAGTTCCATCAGATCCTTGTGACGCCCTGAATTAGAAATAGGAAACACTCTTCTACAGAGTCGAATTAGTGCTCGTCATGAAAAGTGGATTCTTTAAAATCATATCCAATGAAAGCAACAATATTTAGCATCCACTGAAAATGAATAATCCATGCCACAAACAACACCCGAAATATCCTATACCTCTTTAACTTGGTGGAATATATAGGCGTGTTGTATGCCATAAAAAACGAATCTGTTAATCCGAAGAATTTTATCTTTAGTTGGAAGAACTGCACAAATGCTTGCAGAAAATAAGCCCATTAATGTTGAATCTTAAAGACGTGTTGTAAGTTTACTGAATTTTCAGACAAGGAGGATCGGCTTTTAGAAAAGTATGTTTTTGCCCGGGTACGGGCAGAAAATAATTCCAAGCCCCAAATTCTACAGATTAAGTCTTTGGGTGTCAGCTTATTCTTCATAATCCCACTTTATGCGATTCGTTTCAATTGGTTCGTTTCTTTTTTTAGTTTTTTATAACATTTTAGAGGCCACTATATGAGGGTTTATCTATTGCGAGGCCATACCCAAGTTTCCCTATCTATCTATCTATCTATCTATCTATCTATCTATCTATCTATCTATCTATTGTGTAAATGTTTAGGCCGAAAGAAAGTGACAATATCTAACTGTGGGATTTTAACTCTCTTGACCTTTTCCTTGAAATAAAACGCAAAATTGGATGACCATGTTTCATTGATTCTCTTTTTTTTATGTACACTGTCCTTTCCACCAATTCCTAACATTTATTTGTTAGTAACTTTTTATCTATCTATCTATCTATCTATATATATATATATATATATATATATATATATATATATATATATATATATATATAATTTTTTTTGAAAATTACAACATAAATATGTTATAAAACCACTACAAAATTGTTATTTTGTTCCAAACTTCTGGTGTCTTATCAAGTGATGGTGTTGAATGCAGAACCTACATTCAACTCCTTCATTGGATAAGACCCCAGAAGTTTTGAAAGTGTCAGTCCTTTTTGCGAATTTTAGCTAATTCTTTTACTCTTGCCATGATAATAACCTTCTTGCACGAATATCAATTACAGAATTTGTATTTTTTCGTCTACAAATAACCACTGATAACATTATTGGAATATTTTAGAATATTCCACTTAAATAATCTAGAGTTTTAAAGCAATTTAACATTTTTAGAATCTGAAATTTGTATTGTACGAATACATTTTTCACTCATTAAAATGGATAAATGGGATTTATTTCTAATAAATCAAATTTTTGTATGTGCACAACTATTTGTTTCCCACTGTGTGTATATATATATATATATATATATATATAATCTTAGCTTTTTCACTTCACAATTAAAAACTTTAACATTCAGATGAACCAAACAATTTTGTCTTAGAAAATCCATCATCCTGATGATGACATTGTACTAATGTCGAAAGTACTCGAAATAAATGAATATCTATCAACATGGTAATGTTTTTTCTTACTTTATTAAGGATGCTAAGAAGCCTGTCTGTGAATACCAAAGGAGCCTATTGAAAACAAGTAGTCAAAACTTGTCTAAATTATTTGTTGAAACGCACAGCCACCCACCCACACAAACACCCCCCCACACACATATATACATATATGTAGACATATATACATATATGTAGACATATATATATATATATATATATATATATATATATATATATATATATATATATATATATATGTGTGTGTGTGTGTGTCTTTTTCTGACGCATTTCATCTGTTAGGATTTCAACGGAATTCGTTGAAACGCACAAACACACAAACACGCCCCACGCACGCGTGCACACACACACACACACACACACACACACACACACACACACATATATATATATATATATATATATATGGTATGACAGATTGGAAAAAAAAGTTTTTCTGACGCATTTCATCTCTTAGGATTCCAACGGGGTGAGTTTTGGTGATGTCGCCAAGTCTACACATGAACAAAAACAAACGTGAAGATATCAAATTATGCAACATTATATATCGTTATATCATTTGGAGTCTGGCCGAGAACATTTCAGCACTGTTTCCTATATCCCTGTTGGGCTGAACATATTAACAACACAGAGAGAAAACAGAAAACAAAGAGACACTGATACTTAGAATCAGAAAGAGACTACTGCTAATTCTGAGACAAATGATTTGGAAATCTTGTGTAAATGTTGAGCAGAACAGAGAACATTGCTTAGAACTACAAGGGACAGGAAGTTGTGGAGAACCATAATCGCCCACGTCCTGAAAGTAAACGCAATTATGTCTCTCTACATACTTTTCTAAATAGATTGAGCATGACATGTGCATTATTTGGTTTTATTCCTAGAAAACAGAGAAATCTATATAGGAACGGGTACAGTAATGAGTGAATTACAGTACATTGCTAGGGAGAAAGAAATAAAGACTTCTACCGGGGTGTGATGGTTTTACTAGTATATATAACGAATCAGTTCGAACATTTAGCGTGGGACGGTCTCGGTAAATAACTAAAATATCAAGTGAGATTATATATAAGGAGACAGTGGAAGAATTAATATTGAACAAAAAATTGAAATAAATTGAAACAGACACCCTATTATCTATCTATCTATCTATCTATCTATCTATCTATCTATCTATCTATCTATCTATCTATCTATCTCGGCTTCTTTCTTTCTATCTATTTATCTATCTCACTTTCTTTCTTTTTTCTCTCTATTTATCAGTTTCGTTTTCTCTATTATTCTTTCTTTCTTTCTTTCTTTCTATCTCTATCTGTGTTTCTATCTATCTATCTCGGCTTCTTTCTTTCTATCTATTTATCTATCTCGCTTTCTTTCTTTCTTTCTTTTTTCTCTCTTTTTATCTCTTTCTTTTTCTCTATTATTGTTTCTTTCATTCTCTCTCTCTATCTATCTATCTTGGCGTCTTTCTTTCTATCTATGTATCTATCTCGCTTTTTCTTTCTTTTTCTCTGTTTCTTTCTTTTTTCTCTTTATTTATCTTTCGTTTTTTCTATCTATCTATCTATCTATCTATCTAGCTAGCTAGCTATCTCGGCTTTCTTTCTATCTATTTATCTATCACGCTTTCTTTCTTTTTTCTCTCGATTTATATGCTTCGTTTTCTCTATTATTCTTTCTTTCTATCTATCTATCTATCTATCTATCTATCTATCTATCTATCTATCTATCTATCTCATTGTCTGTCTGTACCGTATTTGACGGATAAAGAAATCGCACCACGTCCTATAAGCAAAGTTGAAGCGTCCCGGAGGCTAATTGTATCTCCAAGGCTAAATACCGCAGGCTATAATTTTAGCCTGAGACGTTTATAGCAACCTAACCCGCCAGAATAATTATATTATCTATTAAAACGATATTATTATTATTATTATTTTCTATTTTTTTTTTCTCATTTGCTGTCTGATACA